CTGACTCTCTGTAAACCGCTTAGAGAGGCCTGAAAGGCCTATGAAGCAGTATATAAGTCTACTGCTATTGCTATGTGCTCACGACCGTGGCTTGAATTTGGATGCCCAGCTTCCACTCCGCTTTCTGTGAAGGAATACAGGCAGTCCTCGACTTACGGCCACACAATCGAGGCCAGAATTTGTGATGCTAAGCGAGACGCATTTGCTCAGCGAGCTGCGCCCCATTTCACCCATTTTCTCCTGCCGCCATTAAGCGAATCTCCACGGTCGGTAAGCAAATCCGGCTTCCTCCGTTGATTTGGCTTGTCAAAAGATCGCACCTAGAACCGGCGAGCGCCCGAGTTTTTTGATCGCCTAGCCAGCGCTGTACCCGTCGTAAACGTGAAACAGGGATTTGATTTGATCTATTAGTAACATCGGTCACTAAACAAGCCGTCGTAAGTCGAGGACCACCTGACTGAACCCGTCTGAGGGAAAAAGAAGCGGTCTCCCGAATGCTGCTTCCGGGGTGAAGCGGCCTTTCCTTTCCCCTCCCCTCGCGCAAGAAGCGACCCATCCCGCCGGGGACTAAATCCCCCATCGTCCCCCGCCACAGGTGAGAGAGCGCCCGGCCGAGAAAGGCGCCTCAGACGCTGCCCCGCGCCCTCCCGCCGCGCATGCGCACTGAGACGACGACTGAGGCCTGCCGCCCCCCCCCCCCACCTTCCCGTCTTCCTCCCCGTCAAACACGCACCTCTTGGGGCCTCCGTCGGCGATGCCGTTGCCCGCCCCGTTCGCCGGCCCACCCGAACCCAAGCCGCCTCCGGGAACGACTCCGCTCTCCGCCATTTTGGGGCCGGCTTCCAAACCCGCCGCCGAGACTGAGCCCGAGACAACGGCCGCCATTTCCTTCTCGCGCGAGGCAGCTAACTGCGCCTGCGCCGGCGACGCCCAGCCCTCCCGCTTTTGATCGCCTCCTAGGCGGACCAATGAGAGAGGGAGTTGTGGGTGGGGCGGGGGGGGGAGGAAAGACAATACAAAAAACGGGGGGGAAAAACGGCGGCCGGAAGCCACGCCTCCGAGCACCGCCCCTTTTTCCTCCACCCACCCGATGACGTCAGCGTTGCCGTAGCTGCCGAAGTTGGCGCCTCTGGTTGTCGCCTGAGCGACCCTGACTACCGTCGCTCTGGGCGGGGAAGGGCGGGGACTTCAACTCCCAGAATTCCCCAGCCAAGATGGCCCCCTCATTATAAAAAAAAATGGAGATTGAGACCCTGGAAAGAGGGCAGAGAAGATGATTTGGTGGGGTGAAGGCTAAAAGACACGAAGGCAGGACAGAATATTTATCTGGATGTGAAAAGAAAGAAACNCCCACCCACCCCCCAAGCCCAAAGCAGCTCTGGGCCCCTGCCAACGAGAGAACCACTCTACCACATACACGCTGCCTCTGGCCCAACCTCGTTTGGGGGGCTTCCACGCCGCCATCACACACATTTTGTCAAGTAGTTAAAAATCCACAGAAGAAAAGCTCTCGGAGACTTACCCTTGACTTTCCTTCAGCGTCCATTAAGAGCTCCACGTATGTTACCTCACCAACTACAAATGAGATTCCAGACGGTACATAGACCAAGGGAGAAAGCCAAGAAAACAAGGGGGATTTAGAACAGTCGTCAGCAACCATATGTGGAGCCTCTGCCTTATTAGAAAAAGCCCGGGAACACTCCTCCGTTGGCTAAGCAGCCGCAACTCGGCATTACGGGTGGGCAGCACATGGGTGGCACCGGAGCCCTTGACGTTTTCCTCCTCCGTTTAACCTGCCAGCCATTGCTGCCTCGAGGTTGGGACACAGTGGGAAGAACCCGCAGGGAGAAATGTCCTTTCCCCCCCTACTAGTTAATATTGCCAAGCCTGATTTAACAGTGGGACCATCTCTCCTGCATCAAGGAAGGAGCCCCGTGTGCCACTGGATTCCCTAATCACATTGTTCTTCCATCATGAGAACATTTAAATCTTGTTTGGCACCTCCTTCTCCTTTCTAATCTACAGGACATCAAAACTCCATTAAGCCTTTGCCTTTCAACAGTTCATTTAGTTACCGTTCAAAGTTACAACGGCACTGGGAAAAAGGACTGATGGCTGTTTTTCAGGCTTACTGCTCTCCCAGCATCCCGGTCGTCACGTGTTTGGCAACTGACTCAGAACTATGACTGTGTAAACCACTTAAGACAGGGCTGAAAAACTCTGGGAAGTGGTATATAAGTGCTACTGCTATGACAGTGCCCCAGGGTCAGGTGATCCCTTTTTGCGACCGACAAGCAAAGTCAAGGGGGAAGCTGGATTCACTAAACAGCCACATCACAGAGCTGAAGAAGCTTCATGGATGAGAAGAGAAACGTCTTCAAAGAAAAAAACATCCAGTCGCCTCTTGAAAAAAGCACCCATTAGAATTTTGGTAAGAAAGATTGTAAAATGGAGCAAAGCTTACTTAAGTGTCTCGTTTAGCAACAGAAATGTTGGGCTCCATTGTGGTCGTA